GGGGGAGGATGGATGACGACGGGGTGGGGTGAGGAAGAGGAGGAAGAGGAGGAGGAGGAGGAGGAGGAGGAGGTGGAGGAGGAGGAGGAAGGGGGAAGGATAAGGATGAGGATGAAGGGGGAGGACGAGGGAGAGTGGGGGAACATAATTTTGGATCCTCCTTATTCTCTCACGTCCATGCCCCTGCCCGCTCCACTGTCCGCAACTCTTGCATGGATATGCATGGAACCACACCCCGCGCGCGCCTGTCAAGTGTGCGTATGTGCCCCGCTCGCCGTCACCTCTGCCCATATACGCCCGCCCCTCCGTCCGTCTGTTCGTTCGCCTGTGATGCGCCCTGGCGCTCGTACGGTCCTCCCCCACCCTCGCAGAAGCGCGCGCGCCCAGAGCGGCGCCACCGCCTCTGCCTTGCGTGCACGAGCGAAGAGCACGCCTCTACATGAAGTCTCGCGCTCTTGAAAGGGTGGCAGAACCGCGACGCTCCTGCATTTGGACGCCCGAAATGGGTACCGAAAAAATGGGTACAATGCCCAACAGCAAATGTTGTCCCAAACCAACAGCGGCCGCTGTTGGGCGGGCGGCCTTCTGTCTCAAATGGACACAGGCCGCGGCGGCGCGGACAGGAACTGCTGTTGGGCATCTACCCATTCTTTCCGTACCCATTTCGGGCGTCCAAACTGCAGACTGGGCCGCGGACGCGGCGCCGGTGGCTCAAAGTACGCCACGGGCCGCGCCCCGCTCCAGGAAAAAGAAGGCGCCCGGGCGCTGCGCTCCGAACTGGATGCGCAGTCGCGTATGCAGCGCACCCGGATCCCGTCTCACTGCCCTCTTCCTCCGCCTCCTCCCTCCTCCCCTGCCCCACCCCTTCCTAAGCCTCACCCTCCTCCGATTAACCCATTACCACCCTTTTCCTCATTCTCTTCCCACCTCCTCCTCCTACAGAGGAAAAAACACAAGTACCATAGACATCAACGTTGGGCGCTCCGCGCAGATTTTTTGGATCTGCGCTGAACCCCCTCCCTGGCGCGCGGAGCGCGCCAGGGGCGGCGCCAGAGGGACCTCCGGGGAGGCCCCCGCGCGGATCCAAGAAATCCGCGCGGAGCGCCAAAAGTTTATGCTTATGCCTTCTCATCCTTTTCTCTCCTCCTCCCGCTCTGCGTCCGATGCTAAAAAACGCGGAGCGTCCCCCGCCCGAAGGGCTTCGTCCACGCCTCGTCGGCGCGCCCCGCGCCCATGGTTAGACAGCGCGCTTTCTTGGTGCGCGCTGCTTGACCTCAGGAGCGGGTGGTCGGATCGGGGGAGCGGCTGGCGTGGAGACCCCCCAGCGCAGGTTCAAAACATAGTCCCACCCCCCTTTTTAGGATATAAGCATGAACATAAGCATATATTTATATATAGATATATATGAACATAAACATCGACACCATGAGCCATACTGATGAACATAGCATGATAAACATAAGCACTATAATGAACATGCTGATGATGGTGATGGTGATGGTGCTGATGGTGCTGATGGTGCTGCTGCTGCTGATGATGATGATGATGATGATGATGACGATGATGATGATGATGATGATGATGATGATGATACTGATACTGATACTGATGATGACGATGACGATGATGATGATGATGATGATGATGATGATGATGATGCTGATGATGGTGGTGATGATGAGGATGATGAAAAAACATGAACATCAACTTTTGGCGCTCCTCCGCGCGGATCTCTTGGATCTGCTCTGGGACCCCCCCCCCTGGCGCGCGGAGCGCGCCAGGGGCGGCGCTGGAGGCGCCGACAGGGAGGCCCAAGGCAGATCCAAGAAATCCGCGCGGAACGCCAACAGTTGATGCTTATGCCGTTTTTGTCCCCTGTCTCTTCTTCTTCTTCGGAAAACGTAGTCCCATCCCCTCTTGCCACCCTCATCCCACACCCTCCCCCCTCATCATGCTTCGTTTCCCGCCGCTCGCCTCTTCCTCTCCCTCCCCCTCCTGCCAGGGCAGGACATCTTTCAGACGGAGTCAGGGGAGAGAGGAGAGTAGTATTCACAAGGCGTATTGATGCCCCTGAGTGTCCACGAAGGCTTCCGAGGACCTAGGAATTACCAAGAGCGCTCGAACACTTCGATGCCCCTCTGACAGCCTTGGCCCTGCTCCTGCTCCTGCGGATCCTCCTTCGGAGGACGCCGGAGGTGGCTCCGGCGCCAAAGGTACTCTAATTAGGCGGCCAGCCCGGGGGGGAAGTGAGGAGCAGCGGGCCTTCCCAGAAGGCGCGGAAGTCCCCCAGCCTTCCGAGAAGTTTCCCAAGCCTCCCTCGAGGACGCAGAGGCCTTCTCAGAAGGCCCGAGGCCGCCCTCGGAGAAGGCCTTCTCGAGTCTCATTTCCCCCCCTTCGCTCGCCGCCGATACTCTCGGCCATTCGCGCCATCTTGACCCCCTGGGGCCCTCTGGGCCTCGTGAGGTGTGCTCTGGAGGCCCGAGATCTTTGAAGGGGCCCCAGGACACACAAATAAATACACACAAATAAAACTATTCCCCATATGTCCCCATATTTTCTGGGTTTTTGTCTTCCCCCCCCACTTCCCATATGTTCCCATATCTTCTGAGGAATCGACGATTAATTGTGTCTGTGTGTTTTTTTCCGCTCCTGACTCTGGAGGCCCCGAGATCTCTACGGGCGAAGCTGGGGCACCTTGGGCCACGGCCACCTCTGGCAGCGCCCGACCCCCCTCCCCTCCCCTCGCCATCGCTCGGACGACCATATTCCCCGTGCATGTGTAGACTTCGTGCGATTTTTTTTGGGGGGGGCTCGATGATCCAGAATGCTCGAAGCATTCTCCACCACAGGGCGGGCGCGGCCGCAGAACCCTCGCAGGGAAACCCAGTCCTGAAGCCTGCAGGGCGCGAGGTGCGAGTTGGGGGGGGGGGGGCCCAGGGCACCTGGACCGCAGCAGCTCCTTCAACGGCCACGGGAGGGCACCGCGCAGCGTGCGGAGCGAAGAAACCCGGGGTGCCCTGACGACACGCATGCAATTTCGCGATGCGCGCCCCCTCACTGTACAGCCAACCCGCCAGAGTAAGGGTGCGCGATAAGGATGCAAAGCCCTTGGAAGCCCACCTCGATGCGTCTCGAGCGGGGCGCGGCCAACGAGATTGTGCAAGGATGGACCCAGGAAGCAAGGATGCAAGGGTACCCTTGGGAGGGATGCCTATCCTTGCTCTGCGGGTCGACTGTATTCTTTCTATTGCATCTTGCAAAGTCCTGGCTCGCCATGCTTCCAAAACGCTGATGCCCTCAGCAGATTCGACCCCAGGACGTCTCCCGAGGTACATCTTGACAAAACCTTCGAGGCGGATCCAACCGCGGTGACGACAAGCATGCCCGGGAAGCCCCCCAAAGGGTGCGAAACGAAGCCTCGAGCCTCAAACCGCGCGCGATCACTTCTCTCGACCTCCCCACCAGGCTCTCAAACAGTTCGCGCGCGCGCCGGGTCTCGCATTCGAGGCTGGAGTTTACCCGTCGGTCGGAAGAAGTGGGTAGAAGCAGGAAGTAGGAAGGTCTTGAAGTAGATTGGGCTTCCGCCCGCCCCCTGAGAGGAGGGAAGAGGAGAAACCGCTCGACTCTTGAAGTGGGAAGGCAGCTAAAATAGATTGGGATCTGGGGATCCCAGAAATGGAACTTTCAGCGACCGACGTTTATACGTAGCCACCGCCCAGGAAACGATGTCCCAGGACCGAAGGAGGCATTGGACATGGATATCCCCGCCTGGGCCCGAGAACACCTCCCAGGGTCCTGGGACATCGCCCCCCCAGACGGCGGCCACTAGAACTTACGGAAAGAACTGCCCATCGAAGAGTTACCCCAACAAGCCCTTCGGCCCCTTCGGCCAACCCTCCCGGCCAACCCCTCCAACCAACCCTGGCTAAACAACATCGTTAGATACAGCTCTCTGACTACCTACCAGACCACCCCAACCCAACCCGAAGACCCGAATTTCGGGTTGGGGGGGGTAAGGGTTCCACACATGCTTTTTCGATGTTTCCCGACCCCCACAACTGGAAATCGAGGGTAAATCTGAGCCGTTGGGTTGGGTTGGGGTGGTTTGGTGGGTGGTGACTCTCCCCATCTGCAGGTGGCCAAGGCTCACTGACGCCACCACCCTGCCGCCCCCAGGTGGGTGCAGGTGCTGCGGAACCCTACGTAAACGACACGCATCTTCACCTGGGGAGGCAGGTCGGCCAGCGGGGGAAACGTTTCCTCGATGGGGACGGGCGTTGGTCCATCGATGCTGGGATACGGCAATTCTTCCCATGAGGTATGCCACGCACGGCGGGTTCAACAAAACCCCGAACCAGAAACCTTGCCATCTCTCGGGAGGCCGACGTGTACCTCCGCCGCCCTCCGCCGAGCTCTCGCCGGCGGAAGCGGCCCTGACTTACTTCGACCGCCTTCCGCCGCCCTTACGCCACCTTCCGCCGGAGGAGGCGGAGGAGGAGGAGGAGGAGGAGGAGGAGGAGGAGGAGGAGGATCGGGTCGGGCGAAAGGGGGGGATAGCAAAGGGGGGGGCTGAGAATCAGCTCACGTAACTGATTTTCCCGGCGCCTCCCGGCGCCGGAGGCGGCTATGTATCGAGGAATGGGCCCCTCGGTGCGGCCGAAACCAGCTGCATGCAGCAAATTTCGTAACCCCCCCTTTCCCAATCCCCCCCTTTCGTTCGGCCCGAGAGGAGGAGGAGGAGGAGGAGGAGGAGGAGGAGGAGGGGAGGAGGAGGAGGAGGAGGAGGAGGAGGAGGAGGAGTAGGAGGAGGAGGGAGGAGGAGGAGGAGGAGGAGGAGGAGGAGGAGGAGGAGGAGGAGGAGGAGGAGGAGGAGGAGGAGGAGGGAGGAGGAGGAGGAGGAGGAGGAGGAGGAGGAGGAGGAGGAGGAGGAATCTCTCCATCTGTCGAGCCTCGAAGGCGAGGCCTTCCCTGGAGCGCCTCGCGTGCACACGGGCCTCGGCTCACAGGCTCACCAGCCTCGAGCCCGCGGTCCGCGAGCTCCAGGCCGGCGAGCCGGAGCCCGGCACCCCCGGCGGGATCTCGTCCGCGCTGGGCACGGCCTGGCGCCCGCGCCCGCGCCGTGGCCGTTGCCGTGGTCGTGGTCGGTGTCGTCGCCATCGGCGGCGGCGTCGTCTTTGGCGTTGTCGCTCTCGTCGTCGTCGTCGTCGTCGTCGTCGTCGTCGTCGTCGTCGTCGTCGTCGTCGTCGTCGTCCTCCTCCTCTCCTCCCTCCTGCGCGCTCCTTCTCTGCCCTATCGCACCTCTCCCTCCGCCTCCACCTGCCTCCTCCCCCTCCTTGGGCGCACGCGGGATCTTGCGCGGGGGGTGGGGAGGAGGAGACGGGAGAGTTGAGGGCCAACTAGATGCGCTCGCACCATATCTGGCATCCTACGCCTCCCACCCATCCCTTCCGATCGCGCTGATTTTGTCGCCATCCGTGGGCGCGTGCCATCACAGACGTGGAGCTTCAAACAAAAAGCCCACCGTGTTCTGCGCAATCGAAAAAGGGTAGCTGCGCACAGAGGAGGAGGAGGAGGAGGAGGAGGAGGAGGAGGAGGAGGAGGAGCAGGAGGAGGGGGTGGAAAAGCAGGAAGGCGAAGACGAACAGCAGCAGCAGGCACAGAAGTGGAAGTGGCGGGAGGACCAGGCCCAGGGGAAGGCGGAGGAGGGGAAAGGAGGGGGGCGACAACGATGAGGAAGGACTCCGATCCAGAAAAATCGCCAGCGCCAACAGGGCCGCAAGAGAGGTCGAAGAGGGGCCCAACAGGCGAGAACGAACGGACTTTGGGAGCCTGTTCCCGAAACGTTGCCGCCGAGACCCTGAACTCTCGAAGGGACCCCCAAGAAACCCCCAACAAGCCCCCGACACGCCCCAAGAAACCCCAAAGTGCATCCGGCATGTGGCCCAGTTGTGGATCGGGCGCCCTGGCCCCCTCGAAAAGTGGCGACCCTTGCGAGGATGCTGCGCCCCTGGAGGAGCAGGAGCACTCTGCCGGCTCTGTGAGCCAATTGTGGTTCGGGCGCCCTGGCCCATCGGAAGGTGGCGACCCTCGCGAGGGTGCCTCCCTGGATGGGCGGAAGCCCTCTGCCTCTGCCAGCTCTTTAGGCCAATGTTGGGTCGGGCGCCCTGGCCTATCGGAAAGTGGTGGCGACCCTCACGAGGATGCTGCCCCTCTGGAGGGGCTGAAGCCCTCCGCCCGGCTCTGAAGGCCATGTGTGGTTCCGGCGCCCTGGCCCCGGGGCCCTCTGCCAGCTCTGTAGGTCAACTTTGGGTCGGGCGCCCTGGCCCATCGGAAAGTGGTGGCGACCCTCACGAGGATGGTGCCCCTCTGGAGGGGCTGAAGCACTCCGCCGGCTCCGTGGCTCAGTTGTGCCTCGGGCGCCCTGGCTCCCTCGAAGAGGGGCGACCCTCGCGAGGATGCTGCAGTGGAGCCCAGCCCAGAAGAAACCTTCCACGAGAAATCCAACCCCGAGACCCCAGGACCTTCATGATTTTCGGTGTGGAACACCACGCTTTCCATCGCACAACCGTCGAAGCCCAAGAAACCCAACGGCACCCTGGAGGCAAGCAGGGTGCTTCGTGACGTGGGCCTCCACTGCACCTCGGGCGCCCTGGCCCCTCAGAAAGTGGCGACCCTCACGAGGATGGCACCCCTCTGGATCGGCGGGGAGCCCTCCGCCAGCTCTGCGGGCCCCGTTACTGCCTCGCGCGTGCACGCTCGGGGCCGACGTTGGGGCGATCTGACCGAAGCGCCAGTTCTGCGCAGGCGCGGGCTCGCCACACTCCTCGGCCGAGGCCCGAACAGGGCCAAGGGTGGCATCACTGAAGGGGCCCTGGGACACACAAATAAATACACACAAATTATCCCAGTGCGACCCTACCTAGGAGTTGGAGCATCCAGGAAAACAACATCTACATCTACACCGACAGCTACATTAACATCTACACCTGCATCTACATCTACATCAACATCAACAGCGAGACTCACATCTACATCTACATATACACCTACATCTACACCTACATTTACATCTACATCTGCATCTACATCTACACCAACATCCACATCTACACCTACACCTACACCTACATCTGCATCTACACTTTCGCAGTGGTCTTGCTTTTGCTTTGCATTGCCTTGCCTTTGCTTTTGCTTTTGCTCTTGTTTTTGCTTTGCTAGTGTTGTTGCTCAGCACTGCAGGTCCGGCTTTGCGTTGCTTGTGTTTGTGCTTTGATGTTGCTGCTGTTGCTTTGCCTTTGCTTTGCTGCTATGCTATGCTATGCTATGCTATGCTGCGATATGTTATGCTATGCTATACTATGCTATGATTTGCTATGCTGCGCTATGCTATGTTATGCTATGCTAGGGTACGCTCGGCTGCGCTGTGTTATGCTAGGCTATGCTATGATATGCTATGCTGCGCTATGCAATGCTATGCTATGATATGCTGCGCTATGATATTCTATGCTATGCTATGCTGCGCTATGCTATGCTATGCTATGCTAGGCTATGCAATGCTATGCTGCGCTATGCTATGCTATGCTATGCTGTGCTATGCTATGCTATGCTGCGCTAAGCTATGCTATGCTGCGCTGCGCTATGCTATGCTATGCTGCGCTATGCTATGCAATGCTACGATGCGCTGTGCTATGCTAAGCTAAGTTATGATACGCCATGCTATGCTATGCTAGGCTGCGCTATGCTATGCTATGTGATGTTATGCTATGCTGCGCCATGCTATGCTGCGCTATGCTATGCTATGCTATGATATGCTATGCTATGTTAATGCGAATGCTGCGCTAAGCTAAGCTGAGCTAAGCTAGGCTAGGCTAAGCTTAGCTAATGTAAGCTAAGCTTAGCTAGGCTAGGCTAAGCTAATCTAAGCTAAGTTAAGCTAAGTTAAGCTAGGTTGAGCTAAGATGAGATAAGCAACGCTAAGCTAAGGGGACGTAACTGGGGGAACCGCGGGGCGGATCCTGGGGAAACCGCCCGGGGCGGGGAGCACTGCCCGGCCCCTCTAAGAGAACAGGGTAAGAACCCTTCTAGGCAGAGCCTAGGTAGGGAATAACAGGATTCTCCATATGTTCCCATGTTTTCCGGGTTTCTGTCTTCCCCCCCACTTCCCATATTTTTCCACATTTTCTGGGGAATCGCCGATTAATTGTGTCTGTGTGTTTCTTTCCCTCCTGAATCACAATGGCACTTCGTGCAAGCTGTTGTGAAAGAGCCATCCGAAACCAGCAAAGACTGCTTCGTGGATCAGTGCCCCGAAGGAGGGGCGGCCGCCCGGCTTGGAGACATCGGGGCGGCCCCCAAGGGCAAGACATTCAGCAAACTCATCTTTCTTACGCGCCGTCAGACGATGCTAACAGCGCCAAAAAACCAGGACGCGAAACAATGTGAATGTACGACCCGGCGTGTGGTGGACTCTTGGGGGCCACAGGGGCATCGGGAGGGGCAGCCCAGGGGCGCTCGGAGAGGTCCAGAGGGGCCTCCGAGCTGCCTCGCCGTGTGCCCCGCGGGGCCCCAGATGGCCCCCAGATGGCCCCCAGATAGCGATGTCTGCGGGGCCCCAGGTGCCACTGTGGCCTCAGAACCGCTCTGGAAACATCGAAGATGCCTTTCGAAAGCTTTCCCTAAGGAAAACCTGCAGGTTCTGCGTATTCTCGCCTTGTTTCCCCAAGCGTCCCAGGCTGCCTCGGAGGCCTCCCGGATCGATCCAAAACGGGCCGAGGGGCCTCCTGGACGGGGCTCCACGACGGCTCCAGGCAGCCCACGAGGCGCCCACGAGGACTCCAAGAGGGGCCCCAAGACAGCCACAGACGGCCCCGAGACGGCCCAGGAGGGGCCCCAGGCAGCCCACGACGGCACCGAGACGCCCCCCAAGAGGCGCCTCCGACGGCCCAGGCGGGCCCCGAGGGAGGCCCTGAGAGGCCCCACCCCGGGGGCCCCCTGGAGACTCCGAAAAAACGGCCCCCACGCGGGGGGGGGGGACGAGAGGCTCCCCGGCGTAGAACAGCAGCTCTTCGCGCTCTCGGGGCCCGTGATGCCTGTCTTTGGGGCGGCGTTGAGGCAGGATCGACGATTCGGGGATGGACAGACCTCCCTTTCGTAAAACGCGGTTTAGTGAAAACGACCTGAGGCCCAAACCTGGCGGGCGCAGGCCTGGAAAATAACGGCCACGGCGCCCTCCCGAGAACCGAAAACGGACAATTCACTACTCGACGTGTCACTGTTGGGGGATCTGTCTACCCCCGAACGATTGACAATAGACGAGGGAACACGAGTGCACGATGAACGCCACAATCAGCGGGCAAACGAATAAGAACAGCTAGTTATCGGAGGAGTCGGAGGGCGGAGGGAAGGGAGCGCAGAAGGAGGGAGGGAGAGGCTGAGAAGGAGGAAAAGAAACATGAGGAATAAAATCATGATAGCAACGCGTTCACCGACTACCGATTATCAAATATGACTTTGGCATCGACGAGCTCCATGGGATCGGCGGCGTGGCGTGAGACAATGAAGCAATCGTCCAGAATCTCCCCGCGGAACGCGTGCGCCACACTCCCAGGGAGCGGCCGGTGATGCGCCGCATGCTAAAACTAATCAACGAAAACGCCATCGACTCGCTGAAAGAATGACCGCACCGGGCTCAGGAGGGGCTCGTGCTCTCTGGCCGTCTCTCGGGTCGGGCGAAAGGGGGGGATAGCAAAGAAAGGGTTTGAGAATCAACTCACGTAGCTGATTTTCCCGGCGCCTTCCGGCGCCGGGAGGCGCCCATGTATCGAGGAATGGGCCCGGCGGCGGGGCCGAAACCAGCTGCATGCAGCAGATTTCGTACCCCCCCCTTTCCCATACCCCTCCTTTCGCCCGACCCGAGTCTCTTGTCTAGGTCGAGGAACCTGTTTGTTGCCTAAGTAGGCCCGCCGGGGCCAGCAGCGCCCCTTCGCTCTTTCTATGGCGTTCCTCCCAGTAAGTAGCGTGTCGACTGTGCACTGTCGGATGGCTGCCCACGCGGACTTTTTGGATCGGCGCTGGCCCCCTGCGCTCAGCGCCACAGGGAGAGGGCCCAGCGCCACTCCGAGAAGTCCGGGCGGGCCTCCGAGCGCGTACCTCTACATAATTAGTTCGTATGTTTCGACAGGGGCGAGGAGCACCACTTACACTATGTTGTAGTTATGTTTTGGAGGAAAGCGCCCACCGTCTGTACGCGCCATGACAGAATCATGGACGGGAATAAGCGGGAGTGGACCGGCAACGGAGGTCAGGGCATCGGGACGGGAATGAATCGACTCGCCACCTTTAGTGGCAGAGTCCCCGAGAAGCGCTGCAAATGGCATCGCGATGAGGATGACGGAGCGGATAAAACAATACCCCCAACCAGAATATGCGAGACACGGCGAAAGGGAACCAAGCATCGCTTTAGACGCCAGTACCCCTCGCCCAACTGTCTGCACCCCTCCCCGCGCGCGCTCCTGTTGCACCGGCCGCCCGCTCGCAGCGGCCGCTAGAGAACCCTGTGCTTGCAGACGGGGCAGTCCTGGTGCTGCCGGAACCAGGTGTCCACGCAAGCCCGGTGGTACTTGTGGAAGCAGGGCAGCACCCGGAGCTCCTCGCCGACGCGGAAGTCCTCGAAGCAGATCGAGCAGCGCGCCGCCTCCGCCTGCGAGCCACACCCGGCCGTGGGGCCCTCCCAGACCATCACGGCGGTGCGAGCGCGGAGGTCTCCCGAGGGCACGCCGCCGCGAGGCCCCGCCGCCGCCCGCGCCCGCGGCGCGGCTCTGTGCGCCGCCGCTCCCAGCGGCGCGCGCAGCGCGCCGGCGGCCGCCACCGCCTGCCCCAGCCCGAGCGCCACAGCGTCGGCGTCGAGACCAGGACCGCGCGGCCGCCCCGGGCGCGGCCCCGCCGCCGCGGCGGCGCCCGCCGGCGCGGCGGCCTGGGCGTCCGCCATGGCGGCCAGCGCGAGGCCCACGCCGGCCGCCAGGCGGCCCAGGTCCTGCAGCGGCCAGGCCTGGCCGTCGCGCGCGGCGCCCGCCGCCGGCGGGGCCTCCTCGCGCGGCGCGGGCGCCGGGGGCTCCGCGCGGGCCGCGGCCGCCGCCGGGGCCGCCGCCGGCCGCGGGCGCCGCGGCGGCCGCCGGGCGCGGGGGCGGCGCGGGCGGCGCGCGGGTGGCCGCCTGGCTCAGCTGGTGTGCGGCGGCGGCGCCCACCGCCAGGGCGCTCAGGGCCTGCAGCGCCTCGGGCAGGCCCGGGGCTGTCGCGGCGTGGCCGCGGCGCTGGTCGCCGCGCGTCGGGCCCGCCTGGAGCAGCGCTCTCCCCAGGCTCGGCGGCGAGCCCGGGGGGGAAGTGCCGAGGTTTCCGGGGAAGTTTTCGGGGCCTCTCCCGAAGGCGCAGGAAACTTCGCTGAAGGCGCGAGGGGGCTTCTGAGAAGTCCCGCCGCCTTCTGGACAAAGACCCCTGCTTGCCATTTCGCCGAGCACTGCCTGCACTCGGGAGTCGCTCTCTCTTACTTCTGATGCTAGGTCCGTGCCCGTGCTCTTTGGCACGAAGTGGGCGTGCCCTCAGGTCCTTTGCCTAATCCTCCAAGCCTCAATCCTCGCCCCTGGGGGTTCTCTAGGGCCCGGACCCCAACTTGCCAAGTCTCCCTGGACTTGCCACGTGCCCCCGGGCCGTGGCGCGGCTCCCCGCGTGACTTTTTCGGAGCCGAGTGGGCCCCCAGAAGCGCCTAGAGGGCCGCAGGAGGCCTTCCAGACGGTCCAAGAGGGCCCCAAGTCGCCGAGAGATCGCCCCAAGATGCCCAAGACGTCCAAGAGGCTCCCGAGACGGCCCAAGAGAGCCCGAAGAGGCCTCCCAAGAGGCTCACATGATTGTTTCCCTATGGCATTTGAAGATTTTTGACCTTCTCGCCTTTTCGGCATCGCGACGCTCCAAGACGGCCCGAAAAGTCTCCAAGACCGCCCCAACACGGCCCAAGGGGTCCCCAAGACGGCCCAAGAAGGCCACCCCAAGAAACATCCACGGCCCCAAAGGTCCAACACGGCCCCGAGAGATAGGAGGGCCGCGAACCACAAATTCGAGCCTTCCGCCTCAAGAGGGCCCCAGGAGCCCCCAAGAGTCCCCAAGAGGCGCCCAAGAGGCCCCAAGATGCTCGTAAGTGGCCCAAGAGAAAGCCCCAGAACAGTCCCCAAAGGCGTCAAAACTGCCTCTGGGAGGCCCCCGAGAGGACCCGACGAGATCCCAACGGCCCTCCAACAGGCCGCAGACACCAAAACCAGCGGGATGATGGTGGGGATGGGAGGAGGAGAAGGAGGAGGAGGAGGAGGAGGAGGAGGAGGAGGAGGAGGAGGAGGAGGAGGAGGAGGAGGAGGAGGAGGAGGAGGAGGAGGAGGAAGAGAAGGAGGGGGAGGAGGAGGACGAGGAGGAGAAGGAGGGCGAGGAGGAGGAGGAGGAGGAGGAGGAGGAAGAGGAAGACCCAAGACCCAGAGGCATGGTGGCGGGATGGGCCGAAAGCCATCCGATACTCGGCCTGCGTTTTCGGGTTTCTGCCTCGTGGGCGCCTGTGGGCTCCTCGTCGGCGTTCCGTGCGCGAATTCGCGCGGGAGAAAAAATGCGCCGTATATGAACGTGCGTGTACGAGCGCCACACGCATATTTACATACACACATACATACACACACACATATATATATATAGGTGTATATATAAACATATTTATACATACATATGCATCCTCAAACGGGCACGCGTGGAAGAGGGCGCAAGCATTAGCTGCCATGCGGGACGTGCACCATCCTCAAACGGGCACGCGTGGAAGGGAAATTTGGGCATCAGCTACCATGCGGGAAGTGCACAATCCTCGAGCGGGCACGTGTGGAAGGGGTGGGAGTGAGGCATGCATTGCCATGCTGGAAGGGCACCATCCTCGAGCGGGCAGTGGCCTCGGTGAATAGGGTGGGTGTACGCAAGAGTCTGCTAGTATAAGGAAGGGGCAGCCCCTTATTAGACCACAAGAACTCTACCAAGCAACCCTGGGCATTCTTCACGTAAGTGGTGCACTTCCCGCACGCTAGTTAATGCCTGAACCCTCATTCCATGCACGCCCGCTCGAGGATGCGTATTTCCCGCATGGGTGCTGCCTCCTAGATCCTTCATCCCACGCGCACCCGCTCGAAGATCGTGCGCTCTCCGCATTCCCGAGCGTCCCAGGGCTTCCCAAACCGCGATCCGAATTTCCAAAAAGACCCGTACAGGCAACCACGGACACCAAAATGATCCAAAATGCTTTGAAAACGGCCCCAAATGGCCCCAGGGCCGCCGAATATTGCTTCACGGCGGCCCGGAATGCCTCAAGAGGGCTTACAACAGGCCAGAAGACGCCAGCTCATTGATTTCGATGTGGGTTCTGATTTAGTCTCGCATTCTCGCCTTCTCGGGCTGCCGTTCGCTCAAGACGGCCCAACAAGACTCCACGGCGGCCCATCAAACATCCCAGAGACGGCCCACAAAGGGCCAAGACGGCCTTCGACGGCAGAAGGTGGCGCCGAGACACCCACAATACGGCCAACAAGGCTCCAAAACGACACAATATAACCCCAACCCAGCGTAAGAGGGACTCAAGACGCCCCCCAAAGGACCCCACTACTGCCTCACAAGAAGCCAAAACAGCCCCAAGACGACCCAAACGAGCTTCAGCATCATAATCGTCACCGCCACCATCAGCAACATCATCCCCGGCACGCGCATGAACATCATCATCAACATCAACATCATCATAATCTGCATCACCACCATCACCACCATCACCGCCACCATCCCCAACATCATCACCACCATCGGCAACATCATCACCACCACCCTCCTCGATCTCCTGTTTCCCAGCGCCACCATCCGCATCACCAGTATCAACATCAACACCAAAATCAAAATCATCATCACCATCGTCAGCACCGCCATCGTCATCATCATCGGCGACCTCGCCGTCATCGTCACCAGCATCACTATCACTACCACCATCACCAACATCATCATCAGCGCCCGAATCACCATCATCATCACCACCAACACCATCATTATTCATAAATCAATGCACCAACATGTCAATACATACATAAACCAATCATCGTTACCCCCCTTTTTCATCCTCATCCTCCTGTTTACCATCGTCATCAGCAACATTGTCATCATCACCACCATCATCAACAAAATCATCACGAGCATCGGCGCCATCATCATCATCATCACCAGCTGCGAATATCGACGCCAGCATCAGCACCAACATCAGCACCATCAACATGATGATCATTATCGTCACCGCCATTGACAACGTGATCATAGTCGTCATCGTCGTCATCATCACCACCATTCGTATCATCACTATCGACATCATCATCAGAACCAACATCCGTTTCATCAGCATCGCCATTGGCATTATCACCACCATTACCACAATGCTCACCATCACCATCACAACCGCCACCGTCATCATCATCACCATCATCATCATCATCATCATCATCCTCAGCACTGACATCATCATCACCATCACCATCTCGACCGCCATAACAAAGGCGAAGTGTTACACGTGTCGGCCTTCCGTACCTTCGAACCGCCGCCACCCAGAAAACTGGGCTGGCACGCCGGCGGGACTTGCCGCCAGCAGCTGGGCACATCTACTTACACTTACTACATGTGCACACAACGTGTATACATACATAGATGCACATATAAACGTTTATCCGCGTCCGTGCCTCATTTCCTGAGCCTGTCCTCGTTCCGAATTGTTCTTTAAAGGTTCTTCGGGTGCCTGGGCGCCGAACTCGCGCATCTCGTTAGGCTTGCCGCGCCCCCTGGGCCTTGGATCGTCTTCTCGCGTAATTTTTTCTGGCCCTGGAGGGCCCGAGACGGGCCGAGAGGGTCTTGAGAGGCCCTCCGCTCTCGCGAGTTCAGCGGCGTGCTCTCGGAGGCGAGCCAGGCGCATATGATGGGCATCGAATGAAAACGAATCACGAAACACAGGGTGCTGGGCAAGAAGCGCGGGGACGTCTGCAGGGCCCTGCCGTTCAGGACGGCGGAGGACAACCATCGTGATGCTCAACGCTGATTCGCTCGTTGACGCCTCGCTCCCAGCGGCCCGTTCCTCGAGGAACAGGGCCGACAAGGTCCGCAGGGGCCACCTCGAGATGGCGAAGGCGGATGAGCGGGCCAGCCGCTGGTGAGAGCTCCGTCAGGGGCCAGCAGTCGTCTGCAACCTGCAAAGGCCAGCGTTCGTCCTGGACGATCGCCTCGGGAATGGCCTTGTCCAGCGGCGCCCAGGCGATCTTCGAGCGCCGGCCGACAGCTAAAGGCCAATAGTGCGGTGGGCTCGTCCACGGTAGCAAAACAGAGAACATTCGCTTGTCCAAATGGTTAGCCACTGGCTGGTTGACATATATCCTGCCGAGGCGTGCGAGCGAGACGGGTCATGCGTGTGCGGGCTCCGGCTGGCGCAGCTCGTAAAATCTCGAAGGTGGCAATGCGCGGCGCCAATGGGCAGCCTCGGCCGCGTCGCCGTTGCCGCCAGGCGCTCCCGACAACTTGTTCCAGCGATCAGTGTTCGAGACCACGATGTTGAAGTCGCCAGCAAGAGTGAGAAGGGCAAGCTCTGACCGTAGTAGCGGGGTCAGCTTGGGACGCAGAGCTTCTCGCTGTATACGGAGTGCGAAAGGTAGAACGTCGGCGTCGCGGTGACGAGCTCGAGAGACGCCGTTCGAAAAATACCACGCAGCGATATCCAGAGAGCTCTCCTCACCGCGCAACTTCAGGACGGCAAAGCGGCCGGCGTCAACCTCGACACACTCGGGCTCACGGGGCTGGAACTTGTTCAAGAACGTGTCTCGGATGATGATGCCAACCCCAGCTGGAGCAGCAACGCTGGGTGACCACCACTAGGACGTCGTAAACAGACTTGCTCCGTGCCCTCCGTGACGTGCGCCTCGCTCAAAACAACGAAATCACGGCGTTGAAGGAGACGGTGGGCGTAAGGGCGTTCAGCTGCATGACCAACGGCCCTCGACATGACGAGCCCCCGTGAGATCCAGGCAAGCCCCTCGCAATCCCCAGTGTACGGGCCAGGAAGCGGGGGCAGCGTGCCGGGCGGCTGCAGACGCAAACGCACGCCTGAAGAGCCCGCAGGGATCGTAGAAGAAGTCGGCGTGGAAACGCTGGGCGGCGTAACGTTTCCAGGAGGAACATTCGGCGGCCGAAGACCATGACGACGGCGCACCTGGGGTGCAGGGCGAGCCGGAGGAAGCGACGCAACCGGACGAAGATCAGGAAGGAGAGCGGGCCGAATGGACACGAGGATCCCCAGCAAGAGGCCTTCAAGGTGTACCCAAGACGGTAACAAGTCCCCGAAACGGTCCAAGAAGCCCCCAAGACGGCCCAAGAGGGCCACAATAAGGGCCCAACATACGCCCCAGAGGGGGGGAACGAACCGACATGTCGCGCCCTCCGCCCCAAGACGACCCCCGAGACCGCCAAGGCCCCCAAGAGGCCTCGCATAGCCCCAGGAGGCCCCCAAGAGGCCCAATTCGATCACCAGGAGGCGCCAAGAGGCCCCCTAACACTCCCAGAACCGCCTCCAAGAGGCTTCCGAAAGGCCTCCCAAGAGATCCCCACAGGCATCCAATATGCCTCTGACCTACAACCTAGGCGCGGTGGCGCGATGGGCCGATGGCCTCTCTCTTTTATAAACATACATATTTACATATATATATATATATATATATACACATATATATATATCGATATCTGTGCACTTCTACATACACATCGATTTACTTCTATACACAACCTTTGCATCCCACATATTGTGCCACATCGATTGCACCACATGGGAGGTTACTTCATTGAGTGCACCGCGTAGATTGCACCACATAGCTTCCATCAGGTAGCTTACGCAACACGTATTTGATCCCAAAGGTTGTACCACATGTATTGCCTCCCGTCTGTTGCACCACGTAGTTGACAGCGAGAGTGCAATGACCCACTTTCATGCGTCCACGCAGGTAAGAATTGTGCGGATTCCAAAGCGGTCCTGATGCTCTTCGCACTACGAAGCTATATCAACAAAACAGGTGAGGCACCTAGGCTAGGCCCTCGACATAGCATCACAACCAGTGGCTTGCTATCTTTGATGGGCATGTGCTGCCACATTTCTTCCGTCCCGTTCTCCTGGTTCAAAGCAAAACGAGCAGACCATTCTCTTACAGAGCCGGGGTCTGGGGATGCTTCCAGTCGCCCGTTCCTGGAGTCCGTCGGATCTGCCGAGTGCGCCAGCCGACCGGCGTGCAGCGGGCAAGAACAGGTCCATGGAGTCTGGCGCAGGGCGGTGAGCGCGACCGCCAGTCTTGGTGCCAAAACGGCTATGGCGGGAGAGTGTGATACTGATTAAGGGCTTCATTATCACGACGACGATGATATAATAACAACAAACGCCATAAACATAAACTTTTGGCGATCCGCGTGGATTTTTTGGATCTGCGCTAGATCCCCCTCCCTGGCGCGCGGAGCGCGCCAGGGGCGCGGAACGCCAAACGTGTGTTTATGGCGTTTTTTCTTCTTCGAGACTCGATGTGGAATGGGAGGAGCAGGACGAGGAGGGGGATGGATTGAGGGAGCAAGCGGGGAGGGACGGGAAGGAGCAGGAAGGACGAGGGAGGAGACCGGGTCAGTGAGTCCATCTTCGTGACTGCCCCCGTGACAAGAAGAGGCGGACGATGATCAGCAGGCGGCGCAGGACAAGGGGCTCTCCGGAGGTCCCTGGAGGCCTCCGGACGCCTAGGAGCGTAAACTATATACACATACAGTCAACCCGTATCATAAGGATGCACGATACGGATGCCTGGGCCTTGGATACCTATTTCGAAGCTTTTCGATCGGGGCGCGGCCAACGAAAGTGGCGAAGGATGGGCCGAGGAGGCAAGGATATGAGGGTACCGTTGGGAAGGTTGCTCATCCTGACTATGCGGGCTGACTGTAATATCAGCGCGTGGATGCCGAACACTTGGAATGTGTAGCAGCGCGTGGAACTCTACATGTGTGGACTCCGGAATGATGTGGACAGACCGTGGCGGTCCAAGCGCATGCGGGCGAAGACGGCGCACAGGCCACGGCGGTCAAAGCAGCCAAAGCCATAGAGGTTCGCCACCAGCGGCCCAAGCACCACTCGGCGACAGCTGAAAGCACGCCGCGTCCGTCCGAGAAGCCAAAGCCGTAGCGGTCCACGCAACTAAGGGGCGGCCACGAAGACGGTGCCAATGTCTCCGAGTTGCCAGTAAAACAACTCCCTGAACAGACACCGCTCGTGTGGAGCGTCGGCCCTCGATGCGCTGTCCTCCAGAAGGCGCAGGTGGTGGTGCGGGGGGGGAGGGGCTGCAACCAACACATCTCTGAGCGCTTCTAACTCGCCACCGCTCGGACGTCCATTCCCCATGCACTTGTCGATTTCGTGCTTGTTCGTTGCTCGATGATCCGAGATGCTCCTCGATGAGAAAAACGTGCACGTCCGAACGATGCCAAGTCTAAAGGGAGCAGAACACGCACACCCTCACAATAAACACCCCGGCAAGGAAAGCATCGCCCCAGGGAAGGGATCGAGCGGGGCAGTGCAGTTTCAGCAAACACCCAAGGCCGTTTCATAAACGACAAGAGGTCGGGGTGGCTTCCCCCCCCGTGGCCCAGAGGCCCCGGGAGGCCCCCAAGAGGCTTCCAGGAGACACTGGAAGGTACCGCCGAGGCCCCAGAAGCGGCGAGAGGCATCCCGAGAGCCCGCGAGTCCTCTGGTCCACGCCCCAGAGACGGTGGCGGGATGGACAGCAAAGCTCTAGATCGGCCGCCCGCTCCAAGAGGGTGGAC